TCTTCCTCTCTCAGCTCAAAGCCATAAAGCCACAGGCTTTGAAGAGCAGCTCATCTTGGGGTGAGAGCCCCGCGGTGGTTTCAGCCATGTCTCATATTTCCCTTGCCAGCTCTGTTGAAAATCAGCCGACCACACTCCTTCCCGGAACGTGCATGACTGATAATTGCCTCTTGCACAATTATCTGCCAAACTCTGTTGCTAATGAAATGAATGATTTAGTTATCCTGGTTAGTAATAGCCCGCCTCGCACAAAGACCGCTGTGGCATCCGTGAGGCCGGCCGGGATGCTGGGGGAGGCACTTATCCGCAGTCCTTACAGTCACTCTCTCATCTTGGCTAACTGGGGGGGAGGGGAGGGTGCCCACAGCCTGGTTCCTACACCTTCCCCACGCTGCATCAAGAACTGGGAGCATCTAGGGGCAGAACAGGGACAGACCCGAGATGAGCTTTCTGCTCGCGGATTGTGACCCACTAAAGTCTGAGGCTGCTTCCTCCCCACACCTGGTGAAGGAGGCCTGTGATGATGTGCAATCTGCCAGGTTTACTGCTGCCCAGGGAGGAATCGGCTGACTGGCAGACGGGCTGCATCGGGGCAGAGAGGAGATCAGGCTTGCTTCTTGCATCCTGAACCACCCCTCCCGGGACCCCACAGCGGGTGGCTCCCGCCCCGGCACCCAAGGAGCACCCTTTCCTTTTCCCACAGTGCCAGACCTCCACTCCCCTGCCTCTCAGCAGGACCATCCAGGACCCTTGGGTTTCCTGCTGGCCCAGTCTAGCTCTATTGCCCATTCTCGCTGATTTCTAAGGAAAGAGATCACCATCAAGAAATGGACAGAAGAGGGTACGGCTGGGGAATTGGAACTGATCAAGGTACATAGAGAGAAATAAGCATAGTTACTTGAAGAAAATTTTGTTACAAACATAAATGCATACACACACACACACACACACACACACACACACACACACACAGAGTTCTCCTCCTGTGGTCTTCTGGAAGATTCTACTCAGGGGTAACTTCCTCAGGCTGGGAAATAGCTGTCCAGAGTTGTGATTGGAAAATGTGCTTAAGGGACTTTTATGAAATGAGCAGAACCGTTCAGCAGACTATTCACAAGAGAGCTGGGTACTGGGGGCTGTTGGAGGAGCTGGTATCTGTACATGACCTGACCTCACCCCTCTTACTGGTTTGGCTCTGGATAAGCCACTTGATCCACAGCAAAAATTTAGTAGGTGCTCAAAATATGCTTGTAGAGCGACGTGTTTATTTATTTTGACAGCTACCCCCGCATGTCACTTTCTAAATATTTTGAC